GGCCAGTGAGGACACTGAAGGTCAAACAGGTGAGGTGATAACCTGCCTAAGCGCTGGGAGGGTTCTATGGGGGTGCTCTTTCCCAAGGATGCCCCTGGGAAGCCCGGCCCCCAGCCCGGTACTCAGGTTACACCAGAGCAGTAGCTCTACGTTTTTCAGAAGTCTTTCTTTCTTTCTTTTTTTAAAAAAGATTTATTTATTTATTTATTTATTTATTTATTTATTTATTTATTTGACAGAAAGAGACACAGCGAGAGGGGGAACACAAGTGCAGGAGAAGGAGAAGCAGGCTTCCTGCTGACCCTGGGACCACGACCTGAGCCGAAGGGAGTCGCTTAACGACTGAGCCACCCAAGTCTTTCTAATGTCATTTTGTCTCAGGACATCTTCGAAGAAGTGAAAAGAGATTGTGGCTAATGGGAACCTAAGAGGGGACAGTAAGACAGAAACAAATCTGACCTTAAGAATGTAAGTCTGTTAGAGTTGTTTTCAAAAGAATCCCTCAAGCCCACCTTTAGCCGCAGTTTCTGGTGAAATTGAATCATACATTTAAATGGAAAAAATATGTAATTGCTATTTTTTATAGTGCTGGAAAAAAATCACAGATTTGTAAAATAGAAGAAAAGGGGTCAATGAATAGAGTCCCTGCTTGAGGAAAGATAAAGCCCAGAGGCAAAGTTGTAATTTAATTTTTTGGCATTCACTGATTCCTCTCCCAGGTCTTGAATGGTTCCCTCTAAAACATCAGCTATATGTTAAAACTAAAACCTCAATACTCATTAAATTACAGAAATGTTCGGAATTGTGCATAATATTCTTTCATCTTTTCTGCCTCTAGGGGGAAGTGTGTTTTCAACAATTCTGTCCCCAGAAGGTATTTTCTTTGTGGGCTGCTGGCTTCACAGGGATCCTTTACTGTCCCTTACTGTGACCTCAGGACTGGCTTCACGAGGGAGAAGATGTTCTCTGTGAAAATCTGGAAAGGTTCTTACTTGAGAGGTTGCCACTGGGTTTGTGAGGGAGAAGGTCATACAGACTGTTAAAATTGGTGGAGAAAACTTCCTTATGATAGCATTTCTAACACATTTCAAAGAATGGCGTGTTGGGGTTCTCTGGATCATGCTGTCTTTCCTGGTGGTAGAAGAATTAACATACAGACACCGGACATTTCAAAGAGCCGGCAAAGAAACAACTGAATATAGAAAACTGGTCACCTTATTTTAGTTAACTTCAAGTTCAAAAATATAGTTTGTGGATATGGAGGAAAACATTTCTAAATCCTATATAAGAGTCAACTAGGTTTTGTAATAATCCTGTTTAGAGCTCACATTGCCTTTCATTTGGTTAATTTTATTTTCAGCATTTCCCTGTAACTTTCTTTTGTTTTCATTCAGCAATTGTTGCCAGAAACAGTGTACTAAGTGAAAAGGTTAGGGATCTTTTTTTGTTTTTTTTCCATTTCACTGTTTTACAGACTTGAAAGGAACAATGTTTAGAAATTGACCCTAAGGGATGAGTTATTTCTATTTCTTTTCTTTTTTCCTTCTTTCTTGGCTTGATCCATCTTCATGTTTATAGTGCTGCAAAAATTCTTTTATACTCTATTAATAATTAGCTTAGTGTGCTGTAAAACCTCAAAACTTAGCTGCATATAAAATAAAATTTTAATACAAAGAATGTTATTACTTAATGAAAATTAGCTTTGTCTCCAAACCTCTCTTACATGGTATAATAGGTGGTACATGCTTATTTCTAATTCAATCCCATTTTAAAATACTCTCAAGGACAAGGATATATTTAAGTACCTCATTTTTATTCTTTGGCCTTAATTCACCATCTAGTGAGTGAGGGTGTCAGTGTGGTGACTTCTAAAATCTTTTCCAGTTCTATGATCGGAGAACTTCATGGTATTCAAGAAATTTACATAGACTTTCAGCTGCTTGGAAAAAATATAATTTGATGGAAAGTAAACAAACTCATAACATTAAAATTCATATACTTCTATTACTTCCTATAATGTGCACATTTTCAATTAAAATTTTTCTTTAAAAATCCTAATTTCTATAAAATAAGTAAGTCCTGGGGAGGTAAGATATAGCGTGTTGACTATAGTTAAGACTGCATTGCATATTTGAAAGTCGCAAAGAGATCTTAAAGTTCTCATCACAAGAAGAAAATTTTTGTAACCATGCATGGTGATGAAAGTTATAACTAGACTTATTGTGGTGACCATTTCCCAATATATACAAATATGGAATCATTATGTAGTACACCCGAGACTAATATAATGTTACATATCAATTATACCTCAATTAAAAAAAACCCCAACTTCTGCTCACTGGAACAATTTAAGGGGTGCTTTGAGCACCAGCAAGGGCAGTAACGCTGGCTTCTCTGGTTCTGCTCTCTAGTTTGGGGGCTCTTCCTTTCCACAGTTTGGTTTGTCGGTGCCCTTGAGTGACAAGCTGGAAGTTGAGAGCGCTGATCCAAAGGCCACCAAGAGGCTATGATAACCAAACATAAACGTACTGCCCTGGGCGTGACCCTCAGTGTGACTGGGGCAGAAGCGATCACGACCGGTGCCACTGAAACCCCAGACTCTCCTATTAAGCCCACACCACCCAGTGTGCAGAATCCTATCCCTATTGGCCGGTGTTCTCCAGACACAGGGCACAGAAAGCAGTAATAGGAAACCTTGGTTCCTTCATGTCTCCTGGCAACCAGTTTGGAAATCCATTAAGACCCTTGGAATTCGTGATTTAGTCCTGTTCTCTCTTCCTTCCTTCCTTCCTTCCTTCCTTCCTTCCTTCCTTCCTTCCTTCCTTCCTTCCTTCCTTCCTTCCTTCCTTCCTTCCTTCCTCCCTTCCTCCCTTCCTCCCTCCCTCCCTCCCTCCCTTCCTCCTTCCTTCCCTTCCTTCTTCCCTCCCTCCCTCTTTCTTCCCAGGAGTTCAGGGAGGGTTTAATTGCTGTGAAGTGCTAAATCTCAATTTCCAGTGTGTGCAAATTACCCTCTTTGTGGAATTAAAATTTTATAAAGATGCCTCTTTTGCTATTGATTAGCAGCTCTCATTAAATAAATGAGAGTTCTTGTAGGAGTAGAAAGGTCCTACTTGAAGATTCAGGGATCATAGTACATAATCTGAAATCTAAAAGACCCAGAAGGTGACCTGTTGTCCATAATTACATTTCCGGTGCCAGAAAGAGCGTTCAGGAGGTGCTGTAACTGGCATCCAGCGCTGTTGCTTAAAGTTGCCACGTCTCCTGTAATCCCAGTTTGCCTTTTCACTGTTACAAATGAGAACGATTGCTCTTTTGGGGCCTCCCTGTTGAAAGGAAGAGAAAGGAAAAGCATGGAAAAGAAAAGAAAAAAGAAAAGAAAGAACAGCCAACAGCAAACCAACCAAACGCAGCGCCTGGGGCGGTGGCATCGGCGATAGCAGCCGGCTGCAAGTTTCTGCCGAAAGAGGGCGTTGGTCTAAGACTAATAGAAATTCGTGGACACAGTCTAATGAAAGTCCATTTAAAAACATTTTCAATTTATTTTAATTTGCGGCACTTAAGTATCAGAATTCCCCAGTCCAATGTAGCACGTTCGCACTGCAAATGACTTCGGTGTGTTGTCACTTTCAGAGGGTCAAGTTCCATTTGGACCTGCCCTGTAGCGTGGAGGACTCCCGCGAGGCCCCTCTGGCCACGGACTTCACGGCCGTTTCCATCCTTGTCTCCGCTGCTGTTGTGGCTGTGACCAGTGGCAAGACTAGGTCTCGACACAGGACATTTCTCGGCAGTGCAGGACCGCGAGCACCGTGTCTCTCGCGACCGCGAGGAGAAGCGGTTGGAACGGACGGTGCTCCTGCACTCAAGAGACCCTCGGGTGACGATATAGGGAGGTCTCTTTAGTTCCCTGGTTTGGCAAACAAAACCTTGAGGACGCCTCGGAGATGCTCTTCAAACTATTCGCCACCTCCAGAAGCCGAACTCTTCGCTCGCCTTTGGGAGCAACAAGTTTCTCTTTTCCGCTTGCAGCTCGCCGGCTGAGGGTCTTTGCGTCGGGTCCCTGGAATCCTGGAAACGCGGCGACTCCAGCGCGAACCGCGCGGCCCAGAGGCAGGACGCGGGCGCGTGGCAGGGGAGAGCGGGGGAGGGAGGGGTGCAAGTACCGCCTGGGCGAGCCGGGAGTTCCAGGTCCTCGATCGAGCCGTCTGCACTGGGACCTTGTGCCAGGGGCCTGGGAAGGTCGGGTGCCCGCCCCGAGTTGCCGCGTCAGGAGGGAATTTGGCTGGAGTGAGGAAGAGGTGAGAGTGAGCGGGATTTACCGATTTTTGCAACGAAACTACAAATTTCTAGGACCACCCCCTTCCTCTAATCCTGTTGTTTTTTGCACAGTGTGTGTGCCTGCGCTCATTTACTTTCAAACACATTTCCCTTTTTAAGCCTGGAGCTGGAGAAGGCGCTGCCGCGTGCGGGGCCAGGGTAAGGCGGGGGACCCCAGAGGCGGTGCGGTGTGCTGGGGACTCCCGCCGGTGCGGACGTGGGCGACTGCGGCTTTAAGGGCAAGGCCGGGGGCTGGCTGGGAGTTGTTGGGGTTAGGGACCGGGGAGGGGTGGGAAGGTAGGGGTGTGGGGAGGAGCCCTGATGTAAGAATGTTAATGAGAGGCTCCCCCAGCCCAGCCCCCACCACTCTCCCCCCCACCCCCCCCCCACCCGCTGGAAATACAAGCCCAGCCTCGGAGCGCCTTGTGTGGTAACACGCTCCGCCGCTGCCACGCTATTTAAACGCGGGCTATGGATCCAGGAACCGGCGCGAATCAATGAGATCAAACGCGGGGGAGATGCACCGTCACTTACAAGCACTTGGACAAGTCTAACTTTTTTTTCTTTTACAAATACGCTTTCAAAAGCAATCTTAGCAACGCCCAAATAAGAAGCCACCTCTAAGCAAAATAGTATATGTAAAGGGAGAGCGAATATATATATATTTATAAGTATATATATATATAAATATATTACAGGCGTACAGGTTTACACGCGGTGAACTTTTTCTTCCTCTTCTTTCTCTCTTTTTTTTAAACGAGTGACACTGCAAAGAAAGACTCTTCCTCTCTGTCTTTTGGCGAAGGGGGTATTCTATTTTCTTAGAGCGCCCAAGGGGGCGCAGGGACCTCGGAGAGAAGAGTGGGGAGGAAAGAGGAAGGGTGGGTGGGGGGCAGAGGGCGAGTCGGCAGCGAGGGCAGGCTCTTTCCTGCGGCACGATGCCGTCCCTGCTGGTGCTCACTTTCTCCGCGTGCGTCTTGCTTGTCTGGGCGTTGCTGGTCGGCAGCACCCTTGGCGGTGGCGGCGGGGGCGCCAGCCTCGGCGGAGGGCGCCGGGAGAGAGAAGCGCTGCAGCCGCAGAAGATCGAGGTGCTGGTGCTGTTGCCCCAGGACGACTCGTACCTGTTCTCCCTGGCCCGGGTGCGGCCGGCCATCGAATACGCGCTGCGCAGCGTGGAGGGCAACGGGACCGAGCGGCGGCTTCTGCCACCCGGCACTCGCTTCCAGGTGGCCTACGAAGACTCGGACTGCGGCAACCGCGCACTTTTCAGCCTGGTGGACCGCGTGGCGGCGGCGCGCGGCGCCAAGCCGGATCTCATCCTGGGGCCGGTGTGCGAGTACGCAGCAGCTCCCGTGGCCCGGCTTGCGTCGCACTGGGACCTGCCTATGCTGTCGGCAGGGGCACTGGCCGCCGGCTTCCAGCACAAGGACACGGAGTACTCGCACCTCACGCGCGTGGCGCCCGCATACGCTAAGATGGGTGAGATGATGCTCGCCCTGTTCCGCCACCACCAGTGGAGCCGCGCCGCGCTGGTCTACAGCGATGACAAGCTGGAGCGGAACTGCTACTTCACCCTCGAAGGGGTCCACGAGGTCTTCCAGGAGGAGGGCTTGTACACGTCCGCCTACAATTTCGATGAGACCAAAGACTTGGACCTGGACGACATAGTGCGCTACATCCAGGCGAGTGAGCGAGGTGAGCAGGAGTGCGCCCCGGAATTCCGGCCCTAACCCAACCGCTCTGGGCGGCTCTCCCTACACACCCGTCCGCTCCTCTGCGGACCCTACTGCCCCCTGCTGCACCGAGGACCCGGGGAGGCCGCGCACGCGGGGATTCGCCCGGGTGTGCACCGTTTGGCTGCGACAACCTTTGACCATCTCCCGTCGCGGTCGCGGGGTGAATACAGAGGTCCGAGGGGGGTGGTGGAGCCTGGGGGAGGGGCGTTTGGGCCTGCAGCTCCCGAGTGCCCAGTCCGACAGGTGCTGTCAAATTGCTTGGGTTTTTCTTCCTCTCTCGCCCTTCGCCAGCGCCCTGCTGCAACCAGGGTCTGAAAGCGTCCCGCGGCCGAGAGAATTTGTTACTCAGTCCTTTACCATCGTGCGCCCCCTCCTAGTGCGGAAGCATGTTTATTCGCTCCACCACTGGCTAGCGGCTACTTGTCTAGCTTGGTTCCAAGGGTTTCCTTGGCTGCATCTTCCACAAATCCCCGCTTTCTTTTAAAGGGTCATTGTTTCGCCCTTCTCATTCCTTCCGTGGCCCTTATAAGCGAGCCCCTGTGGTTTCCACCAAAAATGCCTCGCTGTGTCTGGACTCAGGCGACGCTCACTCCCCGCCCCCCCCCCCCCCCCCACCCCGCGCGTTCGGCACCAAGGTCTCTAAAGCGCCCCGAGCGAGGCTTTGCGAGAGCGCGCGCTGGGGAAGCGAGCGCTTACAGCCTTTGCACGTGTGCCCCAAGTTTTCTCCCCGGGTCTGTGGGAGTTTGAATAACTACCAAACCGGACAAAGCTCAAGGCTGAGGATGGCGACTACCGCTGCAGGGAGCAGGGAGCCGGAGGAGAAGCGGGTGGTCGAGGATACCTAATCGCAGAAGACCCCAGTGCGGCCCATTTTACTGCAGTGTAGGCTGCGTGAAGGTGGGCTGAGATCCCAGCATAGTGCATTCCCTCTTTCCTGGTGTCAGGTTTGGGGTGCAGAGTCCCCGGGGGGAGCCGGGGAACCCACCTCGGCTCCCCCTTCGGCGCGCACGCGCCTGGATGGCCAGTGGTGCAGTCGGGGCAAAGTTCCCCACGACCCCACGCGGGGAGGCCACAGGCCAGAGAGGGCTGAGCCAAACACAGGGCTGGTCCACGACTCGGCACGGCCAGGCTCCTGGGCGCTGTGGCCGTGGGACACAGCGCAACCGGAAGCTAGAAGCCTCAGGAACAGGTGAGAGTGGGCAGAAGCTCCCTGGAGGATGGCGCCGTGGTCGCCCCCTTGCCCAGTATGGCCACTCGGACTGGGGAGTAAACGCACTCTTTAGAGAGAAGAGGTGGGAGGTGTTGACAGTGTTGACAGTGGGGATGCATGGCCAAGTTTTGAGCGTTCGAACTCCAGGCTGTCTGCGCCGAATCACTGCCAGACAAGCAGGCGGGGCGCCGGTTTTGCCGATTATGAAAAAGGACACTTGTGTCCAACCGCTGCGGACTCGTCACGCCCGGCGGAGAAACCCACATCTACTTCTTTCCCCTCTCCCAGTCCCCAGGTTCTTGCAGAGCCCTGTAGACCTCAGGTTGCCCTGTGTCCCCGGGACCTGATTCTTCAGCTCTGGTTTTCAGGGCACGAAGGGCTGGAGATGGCGGGGGGCCGGGGGTGGGGGTGGGTATTATCCTGAGGGCGCGAGCCGCGGTCTGCCAACCCGTCTATGCAGCCACAGCCCTGAAGGTCTAAATGCTGGCGGTGACCCATGCACACACGGCCTGAGATCCATGGCCTAAGGGGAGCAGTCGGCCCCATGAGGGCAGATCTCGGCCACTGGTCCCCTCAGCCTCACAATGGTGTGGCTGAGGCAAGGGGTAGGGAGGTGCCAGTGCCCTGCTAGGCCTGGGGGCTTCAGAGAGCTTGGACTACAGTCTGGTGCCGCGGATTAATTTAATTCCGGAAGCCTCATAGCTGTTCCCAGGTCTTTTTGCTGCTTCTCCTTCTCTTTCTTTCTCTCTCTCTCTCTCTCTCTTTTTTTTTTTTGAATTTAGTGGTGAAAGTTTGCTGGGCTGAACTGTATGTTTTGCAGGTGATGAGGCTACCATTCATATTCTAAAGTCTATTTCCAACAGTGACTTGGCAGAAGGATAAATATTCATAAATATAAAACAAAACCGTTTCTCTACTAAGTCTTCTCCCCCACTCCCTGTTTGCCTACCCTCGGGTGAAAGTTGCTTGATCACAAAGCTCTCTCTGGGGATCTTTTACTAATCACCCTTACTTTGCCATAAGTGGTTAAAATGTTGAATAGGGCTTCAGTTCCGGGGTTCCGTGGAGTTTGACTTCCAGAGCCCCTGCCCTGGCAAAAGAGGTTGGGCTGCTGCTACTAAGCCTCATACCTCAGGCTCCTCAGCTAAAGTGGCGTAGCTGGGGCAGCCCATGTTGGGGATGCTGGGAGGGTTACGTGAGCGAACACGTGGAACGTGCTGAAACGGTGCCAGGCACATACCGGATGCTCAGTCAATGTGACGTTTGATTATGGTTATTATTTTATATATATGATGATAATCGTCCTTACCGAGGTGAGGCCATGCCTTGGGAAGAGAACCCTGGCAGGAGGAGCAGATGCTCTGGCTTTGGGGTCCCCTCTCCTCTGCTGCATGGCCCCGGGCAAGGCATTTACCTTCTCTGAGCCGGGATTTCCTCCTGCTGGAACAGTGGGGTCAGATGAGAATTAGGCCTCTTCACGCCGATCTGGGGTTTGGATTTGTGCTCACTCAAATATTAAAAACATAACCGACCACAATTTTGTCTTCAAAAACTCCATATGAAACATCACAGAACCAGAGGGTGTCTCTCCCCCCCCCCCCATCTTTTGGTGGTAACATTCTTAGCACTTTTTCTGAACTTATTTTCATCTTTAAAATTATACCGCGAATGTTTGAATTTCCTAACGGGTAAAAACTGATAATGCCACCATCTCAAATAATAATATGACTAAAATTTCACTTGGCTATGTGCTGTGCTGTAAAATGAAGAACCGAGGGGAACTGATCATTCCTTTTAGGGATTTACCATCAAGGCCAATAATTAAAAATGTTTTCCCTGTCTCTTGTCTTTAGCCAACATAGAGCATCACCGAAATACACACGCCTGAGTCTATATCAGTAAAAACATAATGATCTTTACTTAAAACTTATTCAATTCTACAGTCCACGACTGCCCTCAGTATTCTCTAGTCAGCAATAAATTTATTTTGTAAAAAGACAAGTTTAAAAATAACAATTTTTTCAAGCAATAGAAGCTAGCAGTTGTTTTGTCTGTGCATCTTAGTAGACGCAGAATAGAAGTAGTGTACCCACACATTTTTGTATGAAGAACTGTAGTTTTATCCTCTTAGTTATTAGTATGTCATTGATGTGGGCCTGCTAACAACTATAGAGACAATAGTATTTAATCAGTACAAGAGCCACTTATTTTTAGATTTAGGCTGGGGTAAATGACCAAATGGTTGATCAGCAGAATTTTCAAGCAAAGAATGCATGATAAGTGTAAAATAACTAACACACAGCAGGGGAAAAAATGAAGCATTGTAAGCTGCAGTGTAGAAACTCTGAAAGTCTTTGGAGTGGATGGACCTTTGTGAACAATAAAAATAAAAGTGCAATCTATTTTGCAAATAAAACCCATTGCTGTATAGTGTAGAAATGGCCAGAAAGAAGTCTTTTTAAAAAAAAGATACTAATTTTATGGGAGTTAGTTATACAGTTACATAGATGAAAAAGAAAGAAGATTACCCAAGCCTTATTAGGAACAAGAGTTTGCTGCCTCGTACTTGCCATGTTTGACTTGCCAGAGGAAAGCACTTTCAGCTCTTGCAGTGATTTCTGTAGGTATTTGACTTCATACCTCTAAATAACATGTGACTTCAATTATTTCAGTTTGAGGGTTTCTCTCTTGCCATCCCAGGGGCAGATGATAATTTAGTTCTCTTCTCCTGTGTATTAACCACATGCTTGAGCTCTCCTTGCAGACATCCTTTTTTTTTTTTTACCTTATTTTAATTAAAAAATTTTTTTATTAACATATAATGTATTATTTGTTTCAGGGGTACAGGTCTGTGATTCATCAGTCTTACACAATTCACAGCGCTCACCATAGCACATACCCTCCCCAATGTCTATCATCCAGCCACCCCGTCTCTCCCACCCCCCACCACTCCAGCAACCCTCAGTTTGTTTCCTGAGATTAAGAATCTCTTATGGTTTGTCTCCCTCTCTGGTTTCATCTTGTGTCATTTTTCCCCTCCCTTCCCCTATGATCCTCTGTCTTGTTTCTCAAATTCCTCATATCAGTGAGATCATGTGATACTTGTCTTTCTGTGATTGACTTATTTTGCTTAGCATAATACCCTCTAGTTCCATCCATGTCATTGCAAATGGCAAGATTTCATTCCTTTTGATGGCTGCATAATATTCCACCGTGCGTGTGTGTGTGTGTGTGTGTGTGTGTGTGTGTGTGTAGTGTGTATATATATATATATATATATATATATCTCACATTTTCTTTATCCTTGCAGACATCCTTTCAGAATGGTTGTGTAAGAATTTTTGGTTAGCTCAGCTTTTAGTGTCTATATCATTATTGCCTTCTAAATGCTATTTGTAGTTGGACCATATCAGCTATTACAATGACATTTCCTGATTTGCTCTAGCTTTCCTTGGGTTAAAAAAAAGTCCATTTTTGCTTGTTTGCTTAGTTTCCTATGGAGTTACAACTAAATCATCCATCAACTCTATTGTAAGCCCCTGAGATGCTCCAGTTTGGTTATTTTCTAAGCAGATTGCACAGTTGTCACTCTGGATTCTTTAACACCCCCTGCAACTCCCATTGCCTCTCTCTCTCTCTGACTAGATCCCTAGGTGTTCCTTTTTCTTAGTTTGTGTTCTTGTTTTGGTGGAGCACTTCCTCCAGGAGCTTTCTCAGAAAGGATATAGGAGAGCTAAAGCTTGATACATTGCATGACCGAAAATGTCTTCATTCTACCCTTAAGCATTTTTATGGAATTCTAGGTTGGAAATAATTTTCCCTCAAGATCTGAAGGATTGTCTTACAAATTCCTATGTTGCTACTAGGAAGCTTGAATCAATTTGGATTCTTGACCTATTGTTTGTTATCTGTTATTTTTTTCCTGAAAAATTTAGAATTTTCTCTTTGCTCTCAAAGTTTTAACATTTTGTTATGATGTACTTTCATGCCAGTATCTTGCCTTATGCAAGTCAGGGTATTGGAGGGTACACCTCTTCAGTTCAGAGACTCATGTTTTTTAGTTCTGAAAAAATTTCTTAAATTATTTCTTTTATCCCGTTCATTTTCTCTGTCTTTCTAGAATTTGTATTATTTGGATCTTAGACTTCCTGATTGAAACTCTACCTTCCTTACCTCTTTTCTCCTATTTACCACCTGTTTTTTAAGAAGAAATTCCTCTCATTTAGATATTTCTTTGCTCCCCAAATTTCTATTAAGTTTTGGTTTCTAATTTCTGCTATCATACGTTCAATTTGCAGCACATGGCATATATTGCTTTGCTTCCATAAAGTAACATCTCTTTTCTTTTTTAAGCTTAGAATTAAATGGAAAATGGATGCAAGAGTCGGATGGAGAATGTGAATATATGTTTTTTTATTTTTTATTTTTTTAAAAGATTTTATTTATTTGACAGAGAGAGAGAGAGTGAGAAAGGGAACACAAGCAGGGAGAGTGGGAGAAGGAGAAACAGGCTTCCCGCTGAGCGGGGAACCCGATGTGGGGCTCGATCCCAGGACCCCGGGATCATGACCTGAGCCGAAGGCAGCTGCTTAACCGACTGAGCCACCCAGGCGCCCAAATATATGTTTTTTTTAAAAGACTTTATTTATTTGAGAGAGAGAGCGTGTGAGCAAACACGAATGAGGGGAGGAGCAGTGGGAGAGGGAGAAACAGACTCCCCACTGAGCAGGGAGCCCAATTAGGGGCTTGATCCCAGGACCCCGAGATCACGACTTGAGCAGAAGGCAGACGCTTAACCAACCGAGCCACCCAGGTACCCCCAAAATATGCTTTTATTATTGATAAAACCAATCAGAAAACATGGATTTAGATTTGTTACCAAAAAGGCCTATTTACTGTTACTTCTCCCTTAATATGTGCCCTCTGCAAGCAGACATGCACCCAAAAGAGGAAGGAAGAAAGGACCCAGCATGCCATTTTTGTTTTCAGACTCACCTCACCAATCCAACAATTTACTCCTTTTCCTCTGGGTGGTGGTGGGGGACGGAGGGATAAATGAAGGCACATTGAGGGATGAGGAGTCTCACCCTCTTAGAGGTTACTCTAGATGGAAATGTGAGACTGGGGAAAAGATATCCCCCCCTAACTCAGGTGTGCCACCTGGACTGTTTCTGGTTCTCTGAATTGGCTTCTGTAGCCACCCTTTAACACTTCTCTCTGCCATTCTTAGAGTGATTGCAAAGTCACTTCCAGAAGACACTGGGAGTCAGATAGTGGAGGATGCCATGGGACATCACAAATCTTTGGCAAAGACAGAAATAGAGCAGAATGATGAACAGTCCATCTAGAAACTTAGAATCACACCATCATCCCTCCTTTTACAAATTTAACAATTTGACCAAAAAGTGAGTATTTATATATTTAACTATACTTAACTACAGCACAAATTGTCTTTTTTTTTTTTTTAAAAGATTTTATTTATTTATTTGAGAGAGAGAGAATGAGAGACAGAGAGCAGGAGAGGGAAGAGGGTCAGAGGGAGAAGCAGACTCCCCGCTGAGCAGGGAGCCTGATGCGGGACTCGATCCCAGGACTCCAGGATCATGACCTGAGCCGAAGGCAGTCACTTAACCAACTGAGCCACCCAGGCGCCCCCAGCACAAATTGTCTTAATTGACTATCATTTAAGCAGCTCACAGGATTAGCTGCAGCTCTTTTGCTCCACACACTTTATTGACTGTTGGTGAATGCTGGTCATTATATACTTCTCCTGATTATGGCCACACACTTCTCACACTTGTCTATATACTCTCTAAGAGTTGTCGCCAAATCTGTTTATACCAGTTGTATTTATTATAATACATGTGTAATTTAATTAGTTATTATATAAACTGATGAAACATGAGTAGGAGGAGAAAGCTATTTTAGTGAAAACTATTTTAAACCTTCTGACAGATTATATAAAGGCAAGTTGCTAAAAATAGTTGCTGTTGAATTAGGCATGAATGAAACAGCCATATGGGATTAGGAAACACCCTACAAATCTAGAAGGATTCTGCATTCTCTCTGCTTTGCCAGTGTCTGTAAGTGCTTGCTCCAACTTCAGCTGGATGATAATGTGCGTTATGGGCTTCTTTTATGCAAGAAAAACAGTATCCTGCCTGTGAACTTGGAAATTAGTTCTCACAAAGGAGGATTTAACTGCATGGGCAACACAAAATGGATGAGATCTAAAATAATCAAAGTCTGCTCAGATAGACACACTGCTGCTCCGTGTCACTCTTCCTCAGTCCCAGCAGGTATTGACATTTAAAGAAAGAGTGTGTCTGTCAGAGGGCTTGGTCTTTGTGGTGATGGGAATAGGGAGAGAGAGATGGGCCAGAGCTGTAAAAATAGACAAAGAAGTGACAGGGGGGCAGTGTCAGGCAGAGCATCCAGGACTTAGGGAAGCTTATGTTCTGGCCTGAGGACACAGCCTGTTAGGTCCTGGGCTAGGTATAGCACTTCCGTGGATGCTTATGGTTACCAAGGCCTGATGCCTTTGGATGCCTGAATCCTCCAACTGACCTCCCTGATTCAGATTCCATCCTCACTAACATCCTACTGCTTACACTATGGCTTCTCATTTGGCATGCCCAGGGACATGTTGATGCAAATGTGTGTGTGACCATTGGGGTCCTCATTGACATGAAGTAATCTGCATTTAGGAGTACCTAAAAACATCTGAGTTAGATTATTGGGATTCTGCTTCCAAGCAATGACTCTACTCTTCATGTGCCGATAGAATTAGGTTCTATATCTGGGGGTTTAGGGCCAGACTCCGGGCTATGCAGAATGATGGGGGCTGCTGGTGGACGGTCAGCTAGAGCCTCCGGGGTCCTTCTGTAGATGCCCACTCTTGGAATCTGCACTCTTCAAACTTGTCTAAAGCCTCAGCCTTTTCCTTATTGGCCGCTCTGTGGGACACCGTGGCTCTTTTTATCATTTCAAGGGACTAAAATTGAATCAGAGCTGAAACAAGAATGTAGGTCCTAATGAGGGATGAAGAGTTTCTTTCAAAGCTTCCTTGCTGAGGCATCTTGGAGTTTGACTATTTCTTCCAAATATATACCAGTATTTCTAGGCATAAACAACACCTACTCCCACAGTTACAGACCTTATGGAATTTTGTATTGTTAAAACTTGTTCTCCAGAGCATGAGCCTGCACAGCGAGCCCTTCTGTAGTAAGAAATGTTAGAGGCACGATCTAACACTCTGTATTAACATGTGTAATAAACGACATATCAACAGGCGCCTAACCCTTCGTGCGTGTTGCCAAGGCAGCTTTGGCCCAGCCTGGAGTTTGTTTGACGTCTTTCAGCACCCATGCTTTTACAAAGAACAGACACATCGCAGAGGGCTGGCGTGTGTGGTGATAATGTGGGGACAGGCCCCCTGAGCCTCCCCGGGTCTCCTCTCTCCGTGTATGCAGCGAAACACAGTGGTCTGCGTCATGGGGACCAGGGGCCACCGACAGTGATGGAATTAACTGGATGACAGCCAGGTACCCGCTTCACGCCGGCTTGGTGTAGCTCTTACATGGCAGGCCACAAGGTTCTGGAGCTGCCTAAAGCTCCTCAAACCTGGCAGTGTGGGTACAAACGGAGAGAACATGAGGACGGTCCTGGAGTCTCGTTAACTATTTCCTGTACACGTTGAGACAGCTTGAGAGAAATGGTTCAACATTCAGACAGCAGAAAACTTACACCACTCACTGCATCCTCTGATTTGCCAAACGACTGTTCTCCCTAGAGCCATTCAGTTTGCTTTCTCAGGAAAATGTGTTTACCATGCTGTGCAGTACAGAAAGCTGTTGATACTCTTCACTGGCTTATATTGGGCAAATCTGATGATATCTTTGAAGTCTTTTTAAAAAAACTTGATTTTGAAATAATTTTATACTTTTGGGAAAGATGTAAGAAAGTGTAAGAAGCCTCTGTACAGCCTTGACCTTGACTGTCACCAGCTGTAACATTTTGCCCCATATGCTTTCACTCCAGATCTCTCCCCCACTCTTTCCCTTCCTACCACCGACAAACACACACACACACACACACACACGTATCTTTTTAGGAACCATTTGAGAAGTAAGTAGAGCCATCATGCTCCCTCACCCTTAAATACTTAGGTGCTCCCCAAGAACAAGGGCACTCACTTACAAAGCCACAGTGTAAGTATGAAAAGCAAAAACTTTGAACACAGTTGCAATACTGCTGTCTAATTTACTATCTAACTTACCCAAATTTTCCCAGTTGTCTCAATAATGCCCTTTATAGCCAAACTTTTATTATTATTATTTTTTTAAGGTGCAGGATCACACATTTAGTTTTCTGTGCCTCGAGGTCTTTTGGGGGGTTAGAACATTTCCAAAGCTGGGTTTTTGGCTGCTCTCCTGATTGGATTCACGTTGCCCATTTTGACCTTTTGGTCCCGGGTGTCGGTTCATGCGTGTGCTCCCATGGTTGGTGATGGGGGCTCCCATCACCCGGTTATGCAGGCGTCCGCTTGCTTTCTCCACTGTCAAGCTGCTCTTCTTTCCCTCTGTAATTACTGAGTCATGAGTGAGGAGGTGCTTTAGGGCTATATTAGTCCCTGGTTCCTTGTCAGACGTCCCCACCCCTGGTTTCCGCGTCCTCGTTTCACACGTGTTGTTTGTTCCTCCCTCCCCAGTGGTGATCATGTGTGCGAGCAGCGACACCATCCGGGGCATCATGCTGGCAGCGCATAAGCATGGGATGACCAGTGGAGACTACGCCTTCTTCAACATTGAGCTCTTCAACAGTTCTTCCTACGGTAACTGTGCTTCCAGTTTCCCCTCTCTCGATCTAAGGTGTCCAAAGAGGTCCTGAGAAAGCCAGTAATTTGAATTACCTCAATAGACTTGGTTCCATAAAAAGGAACTTAGAAATTTGTGATATTGAGCACTCCCAGGACTTCTCGTAAGTTCTCAAGCTTTTCTTCTCTGAGAACTCAGAGCAAGAAGATACCTCCTCCTTGGGGTAGCCACGCATTGTCTGGGAGTGAACATCGCTCCCTCCAGTGCTCTGGATGGTCATAAATCCAGGCCCTAACGACCCCTCTCAAACGTGTTTCCCACTGCAGGTTACCACCGTGATGGACGGTTGGAATATTTTAATGAGATTTGGGCATGATTTTTAATAGAATAGACTAGACTATATCGATGTAATAGAACATGTCAAAGTGTGTCACACATGCAAGTGTATTATTTCACAAAGCTTTTATTTTGGTAATATAATTGCATGTGTCTATATATCTAAGCAGGTTACACATAGGGGTTTGTAATGGGCTGCAGTGTGAAAAATAAAATAACCATTAGTGTAAATTGAGGTAAAAGCATTTTTTAAAGCTACTGCTCCCAGCCCCACTTCCTTCCAGATTACTGCCCGTTCAGCCTCCCATATAGAAGTTTGAGATCCACCAACACATATGATTGAAAGCATATGATTCCTTGAGATGGATCTGGGGAAGTTCCCAGTGTTCCTGGGATGGAGGGTGTTTAAAAAGGCCATGAAAATCACAGGTACAAAACATTTCCTCCATATGTGATTAGGGCTCTCTCTGAAGGAGACAGCGTAGGACAATGGAACATTTTCGCAAATACTGCACATTGCCTGCTCAAAACTGAGCAATTATAGGGAGTCATAAGTGTTACTTGTCACAAAGGGCTTGTTTATGCTGAGCTCTACTTCCCTGTTCTTGCTGTTGAGAGACAGTTAGACTGGATCTAAACCTTAAAGCATACACCTCACTTTCCTGCCTTGATAACCTGGCTTAGTCAATCAACTCACACAATAGAGCATTGCACATAAACAGATAATAAAACACAATTCTCACAGGGCTAAAGAAAAGTTGATGAAACAAAAGCAGCTCCTGATTCCTGTAGTGGATAAGATTGGAGATTTGAGGCTTGCAGGATAAACACCCATTATTCCTCCTTGCTGCCATGGCTGTCTTTCCCCTTCTCTTTGCATAGGCAAAGTGCTGGTTTCACTTTTTGACTCCAGATCAGAATGTAATTATACTATTGGCTATACAATTGTGTTCACTGAGATAGTGGTGGAGACTGGTCATAATGAAAAACATTTATTCTGAGTTTTGCAAGTTGGTAATGCAAACATAGTTTGTATTTAGAAAAAATGTATGTGAGTGCCCCTTATAAATGGGCCAGTGCAGTGCAAATATTAGATACTGGAATTCCTTGCATTCACAGATAAAGCTTGTATTACTTTTCTCTGCTAATTACAATACACGAGTACTATAGAAAAATTGAGAAACAGAAAGTCACAGGGAAGAAAATAAGTTACTATAATTCTGCCACCTAGCTAAAAAGTATATTGATAATATTTAGAAGTATGTGCATCTTCCTTATTCTATAAAAAAATTTACAAAAATATTTTTCAATAAAGTGATGATACTATTTCAAGTGTGGCTACATAGTATTTTATAATGCTGATATGCCATCTTAACCTAAGCAATCTATCATTTTTCAATATTTACGTTGTTCTCAGCTTTTTACTATTAAGAACAATGCTATGTTGAGTAGCCTTGTATGTGCATGCACACACGCACGTACCCATACTTATACATACATATTACCTGTGAGATACATTTCTTCAAGTAGAATTTCTGGGTTGAAAGTTTTAAGTTCTGATAGATCTTGCCAAGTTGACCCCTAAAGAGGTTTACCACTTTATGCTTTTGCAATAAGCTATGAGATTGTCTGTTTTCCTGCATCCTTACATCATCTAACTTTTAAATTATTTTATTTATTTGAATTTCTTATGTCCTTAAGCAACATTTTGCAGTTTCTTTTTTTTAATTTATTTTTATTTTTTAATTTTTTTTAAAGGTTTTATTTATTTATTTGACAGAGAGAGACAGCGAGAGAGGGAACATAAGCAGGGGGAGTGGGAGAGGGAGAAGCAGGCTTCCCGCCGAACAGGGAGCCCGACGTGGGGCTCGATCCCAGGACCCCAACATCATGACCTGAGCCGAAGGCAGTTGCTTAACCAACTGAGCCACCCAGGCGCCCCATTTTGCAGTTTCTTTATTTATATTCTGTACCATTCTTGTTGAGTTCATTCTTAGATATTATGTTTTCTGGTTGTTATTATGATCATGTTCTTTTCCCATTACATTTTATAACTGTAGTTGTTATATAGAAAAGCTATGAGATTCTGTTTATTTATTTTGCAAGAATTCCACATATTAAATCCTCTGTTTTGATAGTTTTTTATATTATTTTCATATAGCAACAAGTGTTTTTCTCCGTTTTGACAGTTGATCATCTTATTTTTCTTTTTTTATTGCATTGGCAAGAACCTCTAGAATTATATTATATAACAAATGGTGATACTTTAATTTCTGACTTCTTGAATTGAAGTAGATGTTAAAGTCTCCTTTTATTTCTAGTTTATTAAGTGTGGTTTTAAAAATTAGAAATGAGTAGGGAATGTTATCAAGTACATTTGACCTATTCTTTTATTCTTTAATAAATAGGAGAGTGAGCCATTGTAGTATTCTTGGAAGTAAGTATACTTTTTTAGGTGTATTGCTGATTTTAACTTTTTAGTATCTTATGTAGGACTTTTGAGTCTATATTCATGAGTGAGATTGGACAGTAGTTTTCTTGCCTTGAGGTGGTATTGGCAGATTTTAATATCAGGTTTATGTTAGCTTTATAAAATTAATTGGGACACTTTCCATTGTTTTTGTGCTCTAGAACAGTTTATATACCATAAGAATATTCCTTGAAAGATGGAAACAATTCAACTCTGTATCTGGACCTAACTTCTTTTTAGAGGTAATTTTTGAAAAACTTAAAAAAATTTATTTTGAAATAATTTTAGACTTACAGAAAACTTGCAAAAATAATATAGAGAGTTCATGTATACCTTTTACCCAGATTCCTCTAATGTTAACAATTTAAATAACCATAGTACAATTATCAAAATAAGAATATTAACATTGGTACCATATTACTAACTAAACTACAAGACTTATTTGAAATTTACTACCTTTCCTCCTAATGATCTTTTTCTCTTCCAGGATCCAATCCATATAGTTGTTGTATTTTCTTAATCTTTGCCAATCTGTGTTATTTCCTCTATCTTTCTTTGTCATTCATGATCTGACAGTTTTGATGAGCCTGTTATTTCGTAGAATGTCTCCCAGTTTGGATTTATCTGTTGTTTTCATGTGGTAAGATTGAGTTTATACTTATTTGGCAAGAATACCACAAAAGTGATATTGTGTCCTTTACATTGCATGATATACCTGTGTAAGAAGTCATAGCCCTATGACTTAGTATTGGTGATCGGGGGATAACTTTTTAAAGTTGTATTTTTAAAGTATTTTTCCATGAGTTCAGTTTTTCTGCTTCTTGAAAATTAAATTTCATAGAGTTACACGGTGTGCTCTATATAACTTGCAAAGTATCCTTGGTGTTTCTGATTAGACCTTTCTTTTTTTACCTTTTATAGCATGGGTGCTCAGGCTTTGGGCTCTGCTCTGCCTGCCTGAGAGGCTGTGCTTGATGTAACCCTGCCCTCCCCTGTGGGCCTTAGTTTCTTTTAGTGATAATAATAGTACTTACCTCATGGCATCAAGCTGAGTAATAAATGAGGTAATGTGTGTGAGATACATAGCAAACTTCTTGAAACATAAAGAGTGTTTAATAAATGTTAGCTATATTATTAGTCTTAGTTTACTCTGATGATTATATATAGTTCTTAAAAATGGTAAGTTTATACATTTTTCTTGGTGTAGTTATTTTTTTTAAGATTTTATTTATTTATTTGAGAGAGAGAAAGAGAACAAGAGAGCATGAGCGGGGAAGAGGGGCAGAGGGAGAGGCAGAAGCAGGCACCCTGCTCAGCAGGGAGCACCACATGGGGCTTGAACTCAGGACCCGGAGAAAGAAAGGCAGATGCTTAGCCCATTGAGCCACCCAAGCACCCCTCTTGGTATAGTTTTATAGATAAGTTTAGGCCATACATTCTGTTAACAAATGAACCAACTTTTATCTAATACAGCCTAAGAATGGATGTAGGTGCATTAGAAATTACATCTGCATGCAAATAACCAAGACTCCCACCTATAGTTATTTAAGCAAATGGAGAGGTTTATCCTCTCACCTGTAAGAAGTCCAGAGGTGGGCAGTCCAGAGTAGAGATGGTGGTTCCATAATACCATCAGGGATCCAAGCTTCTTCTGTTTCTTGGCTCCCCTAATCTTAGTGAGCAGCATCCATCCTTAAGATCAGAAGATAGTGGCTAGGACTCCAGGGATGGTGTCTTCATTCTAGGCAAGATGAAGGGGGAAAGATGAAAGGCAAAAAAGACACTATCTCAATTGACTCAATTCTGTTTGAAGATCTGTCTGTCTGGAAGCCCCTCTGATTAACTTCTACTTATATATCATTTGCTACCCCTAGTTGTGAAAGATGCCAGAAAATGTGTGCTTTCAGCTAGATTCTTTGTTACCCCAAATCAATTTAGGAACCTGTTACTAAGGAAGAAGGAAGAATGGATGTAGGGAGGCAAATGTCTATGCTTGCCACAGACCCTGAAGCAGTAAACAGAATCTTATTGCAGGCAGAGAGACCTAGTAAAGGGCCTTCTTGGAGATTTTTAAAAAAGATTTATTTATTAATTTGAGAGAAAGAGAGTGAGCAAGCATGCATATGTGTGAGTGTGCATGAGTTGGGGGAGGGGCAGAGGGAGAGACTCTTCAAGCAGACTCCCCGATGAGCGTGAAGCCCCACATGGGGC